CAGCCCGGCACAGAGCCCAGCACAGCACAGCCCGGCACAGCCCGGCACAGCCCGGCACAGCCCGCACAGCCCGGCACAGCCCAGCCCGGCACAGCCCGGCACAGCCCCGCAGCCCCGCTGGCCAGGGATGCCGGCTGTGCTCAGGTAATCGCTTCCAGCTTAAAGCAAGATGAAAAGACTCGAGGGAAGAATGATCCGAGGAGCCGCCTGGGCAAAGCCGCATGGAAAAGTTCATTAATAGAGTTTTATAGCGAGGATGGGTGATGGAGGAAAGGATCTGGTAGATGAAGGAGGAAGGGGTCTGTCAGGAAAATTACTCCACGAACACCAGAGGTTTATGTCCAAAAAGGAGACAGAGGAGTCCTTTTTCTTTATTCGAATAAAGGGAGAGGCCATGGGGCATTCCCCTGGGGTCTCTCAAATTTTTGGAGGGCGCAGCCTCCTTTTTATCCTAATTCCCGGCCGCTTGTCCCTTCTCCCTTTCCCCATAGGCTGAGGTACTTGACAGGTACAGACTGCCCGGAACGCCTGACACCTGGGGTACCTTTTCCCCCTCCACCCCCAATGCATAATCCCTTCTTAACTTTTATGGAACTCATAGTGTTCTTTCAGTGCCTCTTTGATCTTCTACTGGAATCCATCCCATTGTTTCTGTCGCCTGTCACTGATAGCTACATCTTATCAACTGACCCACAGCTTGTTTGTAAAGACAAGCTCATCATTCCTCTCAGGTCTAAAGCTGAGGGACTCCTTTGGTGCAGAACTCCTGGGTGCGCTGAGATTCCCCCTGGATCCCTGTTTATTTGCAGTTTAATGTTTGCATTTTGCCAGAGAGGCCGAGCTGTTGGCATGGCAGCACAGCTGCCAGCTTCCAGCACTAGTCATGTTTTTTCTTTTAACACCTCACATCTGGTTTTGCTTCGTGCAATATTTACATGAAACTGATTTTAAAAAATTACAAAATTGGTTGTAATTATTAGAGAATAGTAGTTATGGTTAAATATTACTTCTTCTTATAGAATCAGGTATTATTTTGATTAATTTTATTTTAAAAGATGACCCACTGTCATTTTGTGTTTCCCTGGACACTTTCTTGGTTCAGGATATTTTAGACATGAAATGGAGTGTGAACAGAGAATCCAATCTGTTGTTGAAGATACGGTTGCTTTTTCATTCACAGGGTCAATATTTTGGTGTGCAACAGCATCTCAGTTTTTCAGCACTTACACCATTTCTTCTTGTGTTATGGATAATTCCTTATGCTTCGAGGTTTTGAGATGTGTTAATGCAGAAGCTGCTGAAAACAGTCACATCCCACCTTAATTTGTGTGACTCTGGGTCTGATTCAGCCTCTGGGGCTTTCCAGGGCTCTCCAGGGCAGCAGCATCTCCCTTCCTTTGGCTGGAGGGACAATTCCATCTCACACAGGTTTTTTCCTCTGACACAAAGGTCTTCCCAACTGCCTGCTTAAATTTTAATTCTGCTAGATTTGCTCTGAAAAATGCTGCAAAGCAAATTGAACTGCGTCTCAGAGCTAAAAGGGGAGGGAGAGAGAAGTTTGGAGATAAGGAACATGGGCAGCCAACTTCAACCCTGGAGTTAATTTTGTTCTGTATCCTAGCGTGAGCCCAGGGCCCTAGAGCTCCCCGTTCTCGGTGCCTGGGAACATCCTGTTCATCCTGCCAACACTTGACCATTCCTCTCTCATTGTCCAACTCCTTCCTTCTACTCTGGACTCACAGAACACAGAAATATCACAGTATTCATGCAAGAGGAGCTGGTTCTGTTTGAAGGGGAAGCAAAACGTGTAAATGTGTGTTGAGATGAAGTGGGGAGGAGATCTGGAGGTGTGTTTTTACAGGCAGCAGGGTGTAAGGACACAGTGCAGAGCACGGGGCTGGCAAACTGCGTTTGTGCCTCTGGCTCTTTGCAGACCAGAGCAGGTGGCACGAGGGGTTTGATGCTGCTGGAAGAGCTCAGGCTCTGAAATAACGTCCTGTGTTATCCTCTGCCTTTGCTCTCAGGTGAACATGCCCCCGTCCAACCTGAGCAGCCTGACTCCAGACACTTTCATCCTGACCGGGATCCCAGGCATGGAGCAGCTGCACGTCTGGATCTCCATCCCGTTCTGCTCCATGTACCTGGCAGCGCTGCTGGGGAACGGCATCCTGCTGTTCACCATCGGGACGGAGCGCAGCCTCCACCAGCCCATGTTCCTCTTCCTGTCCATGCTGGCCCTGGCTGACCTCGCGCTCTCCACCACGGCCGTGCCCAGGATGCTGGCTCTGTTCTGGTTCCACGCCAGGGAGATTTCCTTCGGTGCCTGCCTGACCCAGATGTTCTTCCTGCACTTCACCTGCATGACGGAGTCGGTGATCCTGCTGGCCATGGCCTTCGACCGCTTCGTGGCCATCTGCTTCCCGCTGCGGTACGGGGCGGTGCTGACCCCGTCAGCCGTGGCCAAAACGGGGCTGGCAGCTCTGCTGAGGAGTTTCTGCATCATCTTGCCCTGCATTTTCCTGCTGCGGCGGCTGCCGTTCTGCGGGCACAACGTCATCCCGCACACCTACTGCGAGCACATGGGCATCGCTCGCCTGGCCTGCGCCGACATCTCGGCCAACGTCTGGTACGGGCTCGTGGTGCCTTTCACCGTGGGCGTGCTGGATCTGATCCTCATCGCCGTCTCCTACGGCTTCATCCTCCTGGCGCTGTCCAGGCTCCCGTCCAGGGCTGCCCGCCACAAGGCTCTGCACACCTGCGGCTCCCACCTCTGCGTGCTGCTCCTGTTCTACGTCCCCGCTGCCTTCGCTGCTCTGACGCAGCGCTTCGGCCACAGCGTCCCCCCCCAGCTCCACATCCTGCTGGCCAACCTGTACGTGCTGTTCCCTCCGCTGCTGAACCCCATTGTGTACGGGGTGAGAACGCAGCAGATCAGGGACAAGGTTGTGAAGGTGCTCAGCCTGCCCAGACCGCGAGAGTGAAGGTGATGGGTGCCCAAAGGCGACTCCAAGCTCCCCGCCCCAAGTGCTCTTTTGGCTCTTCCAGGCAACGGCCCAGGGCTGCTGCCCCTGTCAAATACAGAACACCCGACATCCTCACAGCCCCAGCTTTGTGCAAAGCGCGAGATAAAGGCAGAAATTCTGACTGGCGGTGGAAGGAGAGGGATCCGAGAAATGAGAACCTACCCCAGGTGCGTCACCTTTGGGCAATCCCAGAGCCCCGGGCTCATGGAGCAGCTGGGGTGGCAAGGGACCTCCAGAGATCAGCTCATCTGACCCTCCTGCTCAAGCAGGTTCCTCCAGACAGGCTGCACAGGATCACAGCCAGGTGGGTTTTGACCACCTCCAGAGAAAGAGGCTCCACAGCCTCCCTGGGCAGCTGTTCCAGTGCTCAGTCACCCACACAGAAAAGAATTTTTCCTCAAACTGGAACTTCCCAGGCAAACCCCTGACAAGGAGGAGGTAGGTGGAATTCCACTGTGGTGTGGCAATAAATCTGGACTCAGGTGGAAAGGCATAAAATGAATGTGTTCTTCTGAATGACACATGTATAATGAAATTCATCTTAACTATTTATTCTTCATTAAAATTCATATTATTGAAAAATCTTCAAAAGGAACAACAGAGAAATAAAACCGTGTTGCACTTCAGCATTCATGGGGTGTCTTTATTCCTTAACCGTATCATTTGACCTTACTTTGAGTAAACATGTCAGTGAAAAAAACATTCTTAAAAGAATCACAGAATGGCATTGAAGCAAATTGTTATTATCAAATCCTAAACACGCTTTTGTTCCAGAGTAGCTGCTTTCCTGGAGCTTAAAAATCTCCTGGGCATCAGTTTGGAACAGCAACTGGAGGCATGAGAGCAGCATCCCCCAGCGCAGAGCTCAGCGCTGGGCAGGGCTGCCAGGCAGGAGCCGTGCCAGCCAGCACGATACTCTCTCTAAAAACAGCCCCAAAAACATCTAATGCCATTCTCAGGTGCAACACAAGGATTTTCTTTCAGTGGCTTGACTTCATTTCTTGTAGCTTGGAGGTACCACATGGCACTGTTATTTTGTGAGGGGGTGGTGGGTGAGAGGATGAGGGGATGAGAGGTGGGTGAGAGGATGAGGAGTGGGTGAGAGGATGAGAGGTGGGTGAGAGGATGAGGGGATGAGAGGATGAGGGGATGAGAGGTGGGTGAGAGGATGAG